TGCTATTGGTCCGCTGTCCGGAGACTCAAGGTAGATCTGTCGGTGTTCACAGACCTTGAAGTCCCCGTCTACCTTTTATGTCACTGTTGTTTTATTTTATTCAGACAGATGTATTTCTTTCAGACTATTACTTGTAGTAAATTTTAGAATGCTCGTGAATCGTGACTTCAGATCCGGGTGGTAGTAATTAATACAGTTTTATAAAATTCTGCACCTCTTATATTTTATCTTAGTTAATTATTGTTATTCACTGAATGGAAATAAGGAATTGATTTAACGATTTTCTAACGTTGGCTTGCCTAGCAAGTGAAATGTTAGGCGCCATCACGGCCCCGTCGGGTCGTGACAAACACATACAATATTCAAAGAGAAGAAATATTTCTCTCATTTAGGTATGTGTAAAGCATATGTTACTACAATTTCTGGTAGTAGTAATCTAATTGAAGGATCTGGAAAAGCTACTATAACTCTGCCTAGAATAACAATACCCATCATAGATAATGCAATGTTCTCCTCCAAGTCTAAGAGGAACTTGTTGAATTTTAAAGATATCCGCCGAAATGAATATCATATTGAGACAATAGATGAGAATAATTTTGAATATCTCATTGTTACCAAGAATATCTCTGGCCAGAAAAGGGTTATTGAGAAGTTCTCATCTTTATTTTGTGGCATGTATTGGACAAGAATTAGTGCAATTGAGGCACATTCTATCATAAACCAAAAGGTTACTGATTTCAATACTTTTGTATATTAGCATGATCGATTGGGACATCCTGAATCAATTATGATAAGGTGAATTATAGAAAACTCAAATGGGCATCCATTAAAGAATTAAAGATTCTTTTAAATAATAAATTTTCTTACATTTCTTGTTATCAAGGTAAGTTAATTATTAGACCATCACCAACAAAGGTTAGGATTGAGGCCCCTGCATTTTTGAAACGTATACAAGGGGACATTTATGGACCTATTCACCCACCTAGTGGGTCGTTTAGATATTTGTGGTCTTAATAGATGCATCTTCTAGATGGTCTCGTGTGTGCCTATTATCATCTCGCAACCTCGCGTTTGCAAAATTAATGGCATAAATAATTCGATTACGTGCACAAATTTCCGATAATCCAATTAAGTCTATTCGACTTGATAATGCTGCTGAGTTTTCATTCCAAGCATTTAATGAGTATTGCTTATCAATTGGGATAAAAGTGAAACATCCTATAGCTCATGTTCACACTCAAAATGGCCTTGCAGAGTCTTTAATTAAACGTCTGCAATTGATAGCAAGACCGTTACTCATGAAAACGAGGTTATCCACTTTTGTTTGGGGTTACGCCATTTTGCATGCAGCAACGCTATTTCATCTCAGACCGATAAATTATCATAAATATTCCCCATTGCAATTAATTTTGGGTCATGAACCTAATATATCCATTTAAGAATTTTTGGATGTGCAGTATATGTGCCAGTAGCACCGCCATATCGCACCAAGATGGGTCCCAAAGAAGGTTAGGAATATATGTTGGGTTCGAATCTCCCTCCATTATTCGCTACCTCGAAACATTAAAGGGAGGTTTGTTCACTACTCGATTTGCAGATTGTTGATTCGATGAGGCATTTCCCCCAAATTTAGGGGGAGAAATTGGTGAAACCAAACGAAAAATTTGCTGGAAAAATCAATCTTTGTCTCATCTTGATCCACTTGCCTCTATTTGTGAAAAAGAGGTGCAAAAGATTATTCATTTGCAGAAAATAGCATATTAAATGCCAGACGCATTTACGCATCTGAAAAGGATAACAAAATCACATATCCCTGCAGAGAATATTTCAATCCGTATTGATGTCCCTACTGGACAATCTTCTAGTGTCATAGCTAATGAGTCAAAAGCACTCCTAAAACGTGGCAGGCCATTGGGTTCTGAGGATCGAAATCCTAGAAAAAATAAATAAATGATCAAGATGACACAAAGAAAGAGTCTCATGAAGAAATCCACGATTTAACCAATCTTGAGATTCATGAGGAAATCACTGAGCCTGAGACTCAAGAAAATAAAGAACTATCAATAAATCCAATCGATATTGAGACATATTTGAATCGATTAGATATAGTGATGGATTGTGTCTTTGCATATAATGTTGCATCTAGAATTCTGAAAGATAGTGAGGATCTTGAACCTCAATCTATTGGAGAATGTCGACAAAGACGTGATTGGCCAAAATGGCAAGAAACAATCCAATCAGAGTTGAATTCACTTGCGAAACGTGAAGTTTTTTGGCCTTAGTCCAAACGCCTAATGGTGTTAAGCCTGTTGGCTATAAATGGGTCTTTGTACGCAAGAGGAATGAGAAAAATGAGGTACAAAGTATAAGGCTCGCCTTGTTGCCCAAGGATTTTCACAAAGGCCTGGTGTCGATTTTAAAGAGATATATTCACCTGTTATGGATGCAATAGCATTTCGTTATCTCATTAGTTTTGCTGTCCATGAAAATCTTGCCATGCATTTAATGGATGTGGTTACCGCCTACCTTTATGGCTTACTTGATAATGAGATATACATAAAAATTTCCAAAGGATTTAAAATGCCGATGAACATAATTTAAAGTCCCAAGAAATATTTTCAATCAAACTGCAAAGATCTTTGTATGGTCTAAAGAAATTAGGACAAATGTGGTATAACCGCCTTAGTGAATATTTATTGAAGGAAGGTTATATAAATGATGCAATTTGTCCATGCATTTTTATAAAGAAAATAACATCGGAGTTTGTTGTACTTGCCATATATGTTGATGACATAAACCTTATTGGAACTCCTATAGAACTCCAAAAGGCAATTGATTATTTAAAGAAGGAATTCGAGATGAAGGATCTCGGAAAGACAAAATTATGTCTCGGTTTGCAAATTGAACATTTGACAAATGAGATTTTTGTTCATCAATCTGCATTTACAAACAAGGTATTGAAACGGTTTTACATGGATGGAGCACATCCATTAAGTACTCCGATGGTTGTTCGATCACTTGATGTGAATAAGGATCCTTTTCGATCTCAAGAAAAGAATGAAGATCTACTTGGTCGTGAAGTACCATATCTTAGTGCAATTGGTGCACTAATGTATCTTGTTAATACAACAAGTCCCGACATAACTTTTTTAGTTAATGTCTTAGCAAGATCTAGTTCTATTTCTACAAGGAGACATTGGAATGGAATCAAACACATATTGCGGTATCTAAAAGAAACTACCGATATGGGCTTATTTTATGGCAATAATTGTAGTCCCGATCTTGTTGGTTATTCCGATGCTAGGTATTTATCCGACCCACACAAGGCTCGATCTCAAACAGGCTATATGTTTACATGTGGAGGCACTTCCATATCTTGGCGATCGACTAAACAATCAATCATGGCTACTTCATCTAATCATGCTGAGATAATTACTATTCATGAAACAAGTCGAGAATATGTGTGGTTGAGGTCTATAATACATGTTATTCGAGACAAACGTGGTTTGAAGTGTGACAAACTACCCATGATTTTGTATGAAGACAGTGCAGCATGCATAGCCTAATTGAAGGGAGGATTCATAAAAGGAGTTAGGACAAAGTACATTTCACCAAAGTTATTTTTTCACACATGATCTTCAAAAGAATGGTGATATTAATGTGCAACAAATTCGTTCAAGTGATAATATGGCTGATTTGTTCACCAAATCTCTACCGACATCAACCTTCAAGAAATTAGTGTACAAGATTGGGATGCGAAAGTTCAAGGATGTGAATTGATGCTCTCATCAGGGGGAGTTAATATGCATTGTACTTTTTTTTCCTTACAAGGTTTTGTCCCACTGGATTTTTCTTGCAAGATTTCTAACAAGGCAACCAAAAGACGTATTTTTAAACATGTGTACTCTTTTTCTTTCTCTAGAATTTTTTCCCACTGAGTTTTATTTTAGTTAAGGTTTTAACGAGGCATATTATCCGGGGAGTGTTATAAATAGAATTGTATTTAAGGTGAATATCTATATTTTAGAGAGATTTTAGGGATTATTACTTGGTGGCTAAGTCACTCTTTCCCTATAAATAAAGAAGTTCTATTCCATTATAAATTATCCCAAATCAATAAGAATTCTCTCTTTCTTTGCAATATTCTTCTTTATTGTTTCATTACAAAATAAGAATAGTCCCTTATTTTTGGGTGTTTGTTTTTAGTTGGAGATGCATTATTATGGGATACTTTCATAATCAGTTTTCTAGTTTATAGGAAATCTACCGTATTTGAAGGTATAACATTTATGTTTATGTTGTAGAATATGTTATTTAATTAATAGTTATAAATGGTAGAATATTTTTTGAATTCATCAATAATAATGAAAATCCCCCCATTNAGGTCCCTAGACTGTGTAGTCCTTCTCTCTTAGTTTATATGATACTTTTTAATTGGTCCAAAAAATTTATATTTTTTTATATTTAAAAATAATTTAACTTTTAATTTTCTATTTTACCCTTAAGATAATTATTTTTTTGTTAAATTTTGAGCACAATCAAATCTATCTATAATTAAAAGCACAAGAAAAACTCCTACCATTAAGCCAAGTGGCATCATCCCAATATGCCACTCGGCACTCTAAGACATTGCTCCAACTAATTAGGAACTAAAACTTTATTTGGAATAAATCTGTCGTACAAAATTCGGTAGAACTTTTAGAATTTTTTTAATTTTTTTAAGTATTAAATGATTTTACATGTGAAAACCGTTTAATCCACAATATTAGGTAAAAACTTTTTACCTTTCACTTGCCCTAAATTATCTCTGCAAAATCACGATAGTCAGAGTGTGCTCAACTATCTAAACTACGATTGAAAGTCACGGTTGAAATTCACTTTACTGGGTAACAACTGTTCAAAACTGCAAACTTATATTTCTTCCACTAATACACGGTACTTCAATTCTAATCTTCCTATTGCTATCAAGATTTCAAAAAAACTTACTGCTTATGCAAAAGATGGCTACTCACATTAATTTCATCAAGGATATAACAATTTCGAAGATGCAATGGAAGTTGAAAGTTCGGGTTGTCCGTCCGTGGGAAGTACCAGATATTTTTAATTCAGTCACTACATTTTCGATTGAATTGGTTCTACAAGATGAAAAGGTATTTTAAATATGTTATTGCCTTGCTAATTCGTTTTGCTCTCTGTTACTGAACTTGCAAATCTAAATGTATTGTTCGTATCTTTGACTTACAAATTCGTTCAAATATATTGTTGAAAAGTAGAAACTGATTCCTTTTGTTCTCTGCTTCTTAAGTTGCAAATTGCTAATTAGTTTTGCTCTATGTTTCTGGACTTGCAAATCTTAATTTATTTTTCTGTATCTTTGACTTACAAATTTGTTTAAATATATTGTTGAAAAGTTGAAACTAATTCCTTTTGTTCTCTGCTTTTTAAGTTGCTCTATTTCTACTATTGAAAAGTAGTATTAGTATAAATTAAGTTGCAATCTGGAATAGTTGCTCTATTTCTTTTACTTACTAATTCGTTCTACCTTCCCTGTTTTTTAATGTGATTAAGTTGCAAATCTGGAGTTGTTGCTCTATTTCTTTGACATATTAATTTGTTCAAGTTTACAGTTGAAAAGTAGTATTAATATAAATTTGTTCAAATATTTTATGAAAAGTAGAAACTAATTCCTTTTGTTCTCTACTTCTTTAGCTGCAAATATGAATTTGAAAAGTAGTATTTGAAATGCAACCCAGTTTTAAGGAAATAGTGAACAAATGTATCGTCCTCAAAACAGTCGCAGAAATATAAAGAGGGGACAAAAGGTTTTTGGAATTAGCAAAAACATTAGACTACTTTTCAACTAAGTTGCAAATCTGGAGTTTTTGCTCTATTTCTTCGATTTATTAATTTGTTCAACTCTACTGTTGAAAAGTAGTATTAATATAAATTAGTATTACTATAAAATTTGTAATCTCTGTTATTTAATGTAATTTTTTTGTAGGGCGATCGGATACATGCTTCTATTGGCAAGTCAGTTTTACATCTTTTCAAAACACAAATTAATGAGCTTGGATTATATCTTATGGCAAACTTTATTGTTTGCCAAAACAAAGAGAGGTCCAACACCACAAAACATAGGTTGGGGCTGACATTTACTCAGCGGACAACAATGGCCGAAACAATTGATCCACTTTTTCTAATGAATATCTTTGATCTGCGACCATATCATCAATTGATAAATAAGGTTGATGTGAACGAGAGTGAATTATTCGGTAATAATAACTTTTAACTTAATATTCTAATTATTAACTTTAATGCTATTTATTTTAACATCTTCTTTTTCTTTAGATGTGATCGCAGAAATTGTCGGTTTTAGTAAGGTGCACAAGCACAAACAAGGTGGAATTTCTAGGAAGTTTATGGATATCGAACTAGAAGATGATGAGTAAGAATAAACAGTCATCCACAGATTAAGGATAGATTTGATAATTACATATGCTAAAAATTATATACTATTTCTATTTGGCAGGAGGAACAAGTTATCTGCTACATTCTAGGGCGAATTTGTTAATCAAGTTATACCTCACCTGCTAAGTTCTAACAACCAGCCTATTGTTGTTGTTATGCAGCTCATAAAAGCCCATAAATTTCAAGGTAAAATATAATTATTCAATTTGACATTACTTTTTGAAAGTTATTCATTACATCTTACACGTACTTTTTTTTGCAGATTCATATTCTATACGCAATACTTATGTTTACCCGAAAAAATGATAAAGTTGAATTTATACGTAGTTCTAAGGATACATGGTATAACTTGGCACAAATCAGAAAAGTAAGTAGAAGTATATCGAATATTGACTTGTAAAGAATGAAATACGAACCAATATTGAATTAGAAAACGATTTTATGAACTAGCAAGATGAATCAATATATAAAGCTCACAAGAGGATAATCTCTACTGTATTTCTCTGTGAATAGTAATATCTGAATATGAGAGTGTATCAATGTCTTAATGTTAGATCCCTTACAGAAATAATAGCCATCCCTCTTATAGTGGAGGGATCCTACTTTGGATATAATTAAAAATATATAGTGGGGAACCTATGATAGATTAACTTTTCCCTAATTCCTGCAAAGATTCTCTCCCTTAGTGCGGCTGTAACGGCTCTTGTCCCTTGGCTCGATCTTGACCGGACTTGGTTTTGGTTGGTTTCTAGATTTAGAGCTCGCTATTGACTCGGGGCCTGATATTGACTTGTGATCGGTATTGATCGGTCTCTGGCTCTCAAGCTCGATAACGCCACTTCACATCATAGTTCGATTTGGATTCGAGCTCGGTAATGACTTCGAGCTCGGTATTTGATCGGTCCCAAAAATTTGAGCTCGGTAACCTGGCTTCAGATCTCATACTCGATATTATGAAGATGACCTTCGGTTTATTATGTTCCAATCTTGACCAATCATACGAAGGTCGAAATCGGTTTTGACCATATACATATAGTCCCCTCGTTTCTCGAGAAGAATATGGCGAGAAACGACACGATTTTCCAATGGTATGACTTGATACAGGCTGACGTTTGCATCGAGCCTGACCATGATGTACGTGATAGATATCCCGTCGGTTCAGTTTACTAAGACATTAAATATGTATCAGACGATGGTCGGCCATTGTTGACATTGAACCGTCATTGCCAACCTTATAAATAGCCCCTCTTTTTATAACTTTTTACTTTTACATCTCCAAACCTTCTAAGTTCCCTTTCGCATCTTCTGAGTTCTTCATCTGTAAATTTGTGATTTTTACTGCAAAATCCCTCTTTTAGAACACCAAATCTTGTCATCTTCCTCTATCTTCAATCTTCAAATCCCAATGGCGAAAACGTCAAAAACCGATCCTAAAAAAGAAAAAGCTTCTTCTTCGCGGCCCGCCAGCGTCAAAACACTGGTGGAGCCACGACCTGAGGAGTGTGTTCCCGGGGTGTGTGTTCTTACCTCCGACTTTAAGATCGACAAAGCTTCACCGGTCTTCGAACGATGCAAGCCAGTATCGAGGTATATGTGCTCGATAACCGAGGGCCATCTTAAACAGTTAAGGAAAGATTGCAACTGGGAGAACAAAGAAGTGATAATCCCGGCTCCCGAAGAAGATATTACTACCCATGTGAAAGGTTTTTTAAGTGTTTATACTTACCCTTTAACGTTGGGCCCTTTCGCCCTGTTGTCATTGATTTTTGCTGCCAATATCAAGTAACCCTAGGCCAAATCCATCCTTCTTTTTGGCGGATTGTTATTCTGATCCGCTTCTTAGTGAACAAGGCCGAGGGGATGTATTTCACCCTCGACCACCTCATTAGATTGTACAACCCCCTGCCTCTATCGAGGTAGGTTAATAAAATTCGAGCGCCGGGCAACCAAAGTGCTATTCTCAAGCATTGACGAGGATAAGGATCGAGGCTGGATGGGTAGGTTCATTTGAGTGAAGACTTCTGACTTAATTCCAGCCGATAAGATGCCGTTTCCCGAGGAATGGAACATGAAGCGTAAGTATAATTTCTACTGTTAGCTCCTATTGTTTTGCTCATTTGTTTCTTTCTCACCGATATCCTTTTCCGTGATGTAGCGGTTGCGTGTTTCCCGGTGCTATGGCTTCGACCTCCACATATGTTGAGCGCTTGTGGAGCGACTTATCAAAGGGCCGATGGGAGGCTAAAAATCATGGTAAGCCTCTTTCCCATGTCTTCGATGATTCGAACAAAACGTCTTTCCTATACTTAACCAGTTTTCTTGTGTGTAGGCCTGGGCAAAGATGCAGTCATGAGGCCCTCGTCTGGCGAGGAAGAGACTTCAGCCCCGGTTCCGAAACCGGTGAAGGATAACAAGAGAAAAATGGCCTCTACTATCGAAGATCCAAAGCTTAAGACGAGGACGGCTCATAAGCCGAGGAAGAACATCATCCCTTTGACCGAAGAATCTATTCGACGTCTAAGGGATGAAGACGAAGAAGAAGAAGAAGAAGAAGAAGAAGAAGAAAATGACGGGTCCATACTGGTGGCCTGAGTGAAGAAAACCATCGACGCCCCAAAGGCAGCTGGGTCGATGGCGGTTGATGAGGCTCCATCTCGAACTTAGGGGATATCGGAGAAGGACTCTGACAAAGTCTCCGAGTCGTTGGAGATTGAGGATGTCTCCCACCGAAGTCATCAATCGGTGGGTATATCAGAAGGGGCTGACCCTGAAGCTCTTCGAACTAAGGAGAACGCCCTAAGCGACTCGCTTGGGGCAATAGTAATCGTAGACTCGCCTACTCTCCCCGCTTTTTCCGAAGGGGCAATTCGGGAAGCCCGAGCTTTGGGGACCCTCGAGGTAGTCGGGACCCCTGAGGGTGAGGACCCCTTTCGTGATTTATTTACCGGTATCGAGGATGCTGCCGGCCTGAGTGACGCGTCGAGTCTTTTCTTCGAGGTTCAACGAGCCCTGAATCGGGTAAGTCTCGATTTCCTTTGTTGATGTCTTATTTTTCCATTTTCTGCCTAACTTTTTCTTTTTTTCGTATAGGCTTTAGCTCTTCATCAAGAGGAGTTTTCCAAATCTTGGGCAGAGCTGAGCCGACGTGAGTCTGACTTCCGAGTGCTTTTGGAGGAGAGAAATGCCCTCAAACTTCTTAATGGATAGAGAGAGGAAGAGATCAAAGATCTTCGAGCCGAGTTGGCCAAGGCATACCAAGATCAGACCGACCTGACCGAGTAGGTAATGATAATCTTGAAAACTCATGGGCTCGATTGGGGAACGGTGGCTAATTTTTTGATCTCACAGCTGCAGCAGAAGCTTGAGGTGATCGGGCTGCTTCGCGAGGAGGTTGATACGATAAGGGCAGAGACCTTAGGGTGGAGAAAAGGCATGGACCGCCTCGCTGCAGAAAAAAAGACTGCTCAAGCCCAATTATCATCGGCCGAAAGTCAACTTCAAGGCATGAAGGAGAAGAGCTCGGTTCAAGCAAGAAAAATAGAGCAGCTCGAGGCTCGGTTGGCTTCCGAACTTGCCAAGGCCAAATCTAAAGCCGAAAAAAGCAAAGGCCAAGGCGGATGCATTCGTGGCCGTCTATCGGGCCGATATTGAAGCCGCTCAAGTAAAAGCAAAAAAGGCAACTGAGACCGCTCAAACTCGAGCATATTGGGTTACTGAACTCGCCAAATGCCAATCTCGGAGGGAAACCCTCGAGGAGATCCATGCTCGAGGTTTTGATTTTACCGAAGAGATAAAAAAGGCTAAAGAGCTTGAAGCCGATGCCGTAGACTTGGCTTCCGATGATGATGATAATAATGATGGGAGCAAGAGTGGGTCTGAGAGCGGGGAGGATCCCGATGGAGAAGAGACTGCCCCCGGAGATAACCAGGAAACTTAGGGTTTTTTCCATTTTGATTTTTTGTGTAGGGTCCTGATTAGACGTTGTAAATACTCTTATATATATAAAAAGATCTTTTCCTTTCCCGACTTGTCTCTGCTTTATTCTCTGCCTTGTGAAGATTTTGTTTCATTCATGCCTTATGAAAGTTTTCATAAGTTCAAGGCCTTAGGCAATTTGATCGAAGTCGGACCTTGTAGCCTTTATAACCGAGTGAGCGTTTGTTCGAACTTGAAATAAAAAGTAGCCCTTACGCTTAATAGTCGAGTCTATTTGGTTTCTTGAAAAAGTAGACTTTAGGTTCACTAGTCGAGTGAGTGTTTGCTCGAACTCGAAGTAATGTAGCCCGTAGGCTTTTATGGTCGAGTGAGTGTTTGCTCGAACTCGAAGTAATGTAGCCCGTAGGCTTTTATGGTCGAGTGAGTGTTTGCTCGAACTCGAAGAAAGAGTAGCCCTTAGGCTTAGTAGTCGAATGAGTGTTTGCTCGAACTCGAAGTAAGAGTAGCCCTTAGGCGTTAATAGTCGCTCGAACTCGAAGTAATGTAGCCTGTAGGCTTAGTTGTCGAGTGAGTGTTTGCTCGAACTCGAAGTAAGAGTAGCCTTTAGGCTTTATTGGTCGAGTGAGTGTTTGCTCGAACTCGAAGTAAGAGTAGCCCTTAGGCTTAGTAGTCGAGTGAGTGCTTGCTCGAACTCGAAGTAAGAGTAGCCTTTAGGCTTTATGGTCGAGTGAGTGATTGCTCGAACTCGAAATAAGATTAGACCTTAGCATTAGTAGTTAAGTGAGTGATTGCTCGAACTCCAAATAAGATTAGCCCTTAGGCTTAGTAGTCGAGTGAGTGTTTGCTCGAACTCAAAGTAACGTAGCCCGTAGGCTTTAATAGTCGGGTGAGTGATTGCTCGAACTCGAAGTAATATAGCTCGTAGGCTTAGTAGTCGAGTGAGTGCTTGCTCGAACTCGAAGTAATATAGCACGTAGGCTTAGTAGTCGAGTGAGTGTTTACTCGAACTCGAAGTAATGTAGCCCGTAGGCTTNAATAAGATTATCCCTTAGGCTTAGTAGTCGAGTGAGTGCTTGCTCGAACTCGAAGTAATGTAGTCTGTAGGCTTAGTAGTCGAGTGAGTAATTGCTCGAACTCAAAATAAGATTAGCCC